AGTGGATGTCTACTTGTATCAACTACATGGCAATCCCGTTCCTAAAGGCATTATGGATACAGGTGGAAAAGATGATGCACACTGTGTGATCATTTGCAGTTTGAAAGTGAGTTTGCTCTGATAGATATGATAGATATTGGTGATAAGAACTTAAATTAGTACTTCCTTTCTTTCTTCTTTTTTTTTTTTTCTTTGGCGAGGTTTTTGCTATAGGACATGAGCACTCGCAAGAAAGAGAGAGACAGAGACAGAAAGCGAGAAATCACCTCACTGGGGGGGATGGCCACGCCACAATCCCTTCTCCTCCATTCTCCTCTCGGGATCTTGGGCACACACACACACATGCGCCCGGCATGAATTTAAGCCACCAGGTCCAGGACTCGAGCCATGGTCGACTACATGGGAGTCCAGCAACTTAGCCATTATGCTATCTGCTGGTCCCAAGACATGAATTTTCTAAGATACATCCAGAGCTTTAAAAATGTCCTGCCTTTTGGTCCAATACATTTCCTTTTATGTAATCTGTACTGAGACAAAGTTTAACAGACAATGACTTATGAGCAAAAGCAGTTGTTGCATCATGATTTACAACAAAAAAATGAGAAAAATTTCATTGACCCACACAAAAAAGCAAGCTTTTATCACCTGGGTTGGGGTGATAGAAGGGGTCAGGTGGGGCTGTGTGAGGCTAGGGCTACATGTGAGGTGTGGGTCCAGATCATAAACCAACCTAAATAAACAGACTGTGGTGTGCCTGCAATCCCAGCTAACCAGGAGGAGAGGGCAGAGAATCACGACAGTGAGAACCTGTCAAAATTACCTCTCTCTCTGTCTCTCTCTCTTGCCCTCTCAAAAAGAAAAATGAGGGTGGTTTACAGATAATATGGGGTAAGTTGACATAAAGAAATACTAGTTAGACATTTTAAAAGGATACGAAATGACATGAAAATAGATACAATAGATTTTTGTGTAAAATACTATATTGGGGTTTGCAGGTGACCTGGCGATTGAAAGTGCTGGACTCCCACATGGTTGACTGCTGTTCGAATCCTGGACCTTGTAGCTTGCTTTCTTACTTTCCCTCCCTCTCTCTCTCTCTCTGTTTCTCTCTGGTCAAGTTGGAAAATCATCATCATCATAATAATAATAAAGTTAAATTTTTAAAATAGTCTATCAGTTGTCATTATATTCCTCCCACTTTTATACTCACAAAAAGAAGACAGAAATAGAACCCATTATTAAAAGTGAAACAGGGCTGGCCCCAAGGCCCAGTGGTAAAGAGAACTGAATCCCACATGGCTGCTCATGATTTTAATCCTGTCTTCAGTGGCTTGAGAAATGTGCGAGGTGCATCGGTGTGAGTGCCCCAATCTCTACAGGATGGAGAAATGGAGGAGAAAGGATTACAGCATGACCACACCTCACTGGGGAATGCTTTCTCCCTCTCTCTTTTTCTCTCTCTTTTTCTCTCTCTCTGGTGAGTACACATACCTTCTGGCAATAAAAAAAGTACTTTTCTGTATATTGTGAAACTACCGGTAATTTCTGTTAATATATGGCTGTTTATTATAGTTTGAAAGTATTCTGAGTCCAGAAAGATAATTACTGTTTTTGAAGAAAACTAAAATAACTCAGAGGGGAGAATATCTTCTTTCAGACTAAATCTACTTACTGTAGGTATACTATTTCTCCCCAGAAATTCTTCTTTTGGCTACTCTATCTTTTATGTCTGTGTATCATAATTTAGTAGTGAACTAGCAACAGAAAAAAAAAAAGGGCCTCAATGACATAGAAACAGCTGCCACACACCCATCATCTTTAATATAAATACGTATTTTTAGAGTTCCTTTCAATTTTCAATAACACTCTACACACAACCATCTTAAAAGCTTATTTGTAGTATAAGTTCTATGAGAGGAGAATTTTGTCATATTCATTCTGTCCCCCAGCACCTAGAACACCTATATAGTGAACGTGGAGTGCAGATTGGCGGCATAAACATTTGTAAGAAGTAACACTAGAATGAGATCTCAGAGGTCACAATCTCACAGATACTCAACTAGCGGTGTCTGAAAAAGATAAAGATTTTATTGTTCGCAGTTTACAGGCAACAGAGGCAGAATGATTGATTTCCCCAAGATCTCAGAGATGGTAAGTGACACATAGATTGGAGCCACTTCTCTGGTTCCTTCTCCTAACAACACTTCATTGTTTCCTCATTGCCTCAACGAATCAAATATCCACAGTACCACTGATTAGTCCAGTGTCCACCAAGATGGTGTGTCTGGTCTCAAGATCGGAGAGGAAAAAAATAGATGTGCTTGGGGGATTTAAGTAAGTTGAAGTACAAAGGCTAAAAGATAGGAATGTGATTTCAATGTCTGTTTCTTCATTTATTACATATGGGTCTTGGACGAGGTTTATTTTATAGATCATCAATTTCATGGTACTATAATACTTTAAATGGTTCATATATACTGGGTGAAGATTGAGACGTTGTTGGGGCCAGCAGGTGGCGTGGTGGTTAAGGGTGCTGGACTCCCACATGGCCAACCACAGTTCAAATCCCAGACCTGCTGGCAGCTTGCTTTCTAAATTTCTCTCTCTCTCCCTCTCTAGTCAAATTAAAATAAGTGAATGAATAAATGAAGTTAAATAAAACAATTTTAAAAAGATTGAGAGCTTGTTAATCCATTTTGGAGGACACAGAGACAAGCAGTGATAAAACTCATTTAGTCTGTCAGTTAAATGCACATAAAAGTCACAAAAACATTGCTTCTGATTGGAAGCAATATTACTGACCCTGATTTTTGCTATTCACAATAAAATGTAACACTTTGTTATGTGAGAAATCAAATTGACCTTATTGCAAGTTCTTTCTTCTTCCCACTGCTTTTTACTGAAGACTCCTGTTTTTCTATTGAAATTGAGTGCAGCGTCAACAGATTCATAGAATGTCTGCAATGCAGTTAGCTGTGTCAGAAAAATAAGTTAATTGGCATTGTGTGGATTCAATAGGCAAGTGGTCGATTTTTGAGTTGTTATTTGTTGTTATTTGATGAAGAGAAAAATAAATAGTATCATTAGGTAATTTTAGAGTGTGCCCCAGCCTTTACAGTGAAGCATGGGGAGAGATCGCCATCCCCCAAGTGTACCTTGTAATGGAAAACCTGCTTTAGCTAGACCAAATAGTGTCCAACATGCAAACATTCCAAGTGTGTGGAACAAACTTGGTTTGCATGGCATTCATTGAGACCTATGACCTCTGTATAAAATAAGGACAAGCCGGCCAAAATATGAAAGTCTTGTTCTTAGTCTATTGCTATGTTAAAGATAACTGCTAATCTTTATTGAACACGTACCATTGTGCATACAACTCACTTATTTTGACTTTTAATCCTGTTGTTGCTATCACATGCTATGGTACCATCCATCTGCCTCTTTGAAGGGAATAATCTGAGACATAAATGCATGATTTTTTTTTTTTTTTTAGGGAGAATTTTGCTAGAGGATGTGGGTGCTCCCCAGAAAGACAGGGAGAGACAGAGAGACAGAAAGCGAGAAATCACCTCCCCAGGGGGTATGGCCATGCCGCAATCCCTTCTCCTCCATTCTCTTCTGGGGATCTTGGGTACGCACACATGCATACATGCCCCGTGTGAGTTTAAGCCACTAAATCTGGGACTCGATCCACGGTTGACTAAATGGGGGTCCAGCAACATATAGCCATTACTCCAACTGCTGGTCTCCACAAATGCATGAATTATTTTTCTCAAAGTCTCATAGCAACTTAGTGATGTGCCCAGGATTTTTTATTAATTAATTAATTACTTCTATATTTTCCTACAAACATTTACTTTACATATCAAAAATTTTTGCTCCTACTCCATAGTTCTTGACAGTTAATAGATAAATAACTTTCAAAATTTAAGAACACTGAATTTTAGAAATAACTTTCAAAATATTTGTTATGATTTTGTTTGTGACTCTGTCATAACAGAGACAGTATGGTTTTAAATATGTTTGAGAAAATGTTTACATGTCAACTACTCAATAGGATTTACACTTTGCAGCCTGGCTCTGGTGCCTGGGCTTAACCATATTTCTACCCTCGATAATGACCAAATGGGGAAGCAACTTAAACACTTCTAGTGATGTCTTCACACTTGCTAGCCTTGTGATTCGTCCATTCTCATCTTTGGAGACTAAGTGGATGAGTCCTGTTTTATACTGGATTGTCCTATTTGGAAGAGAGAGGCAGCAGAGTGAATGAATGGAAAAGGATGGACTTTTAAAATTCAAATCTAAATCCTCATGGTTTTACTTACCACCTTTACTCAGGTTGGCACATTTGGTTTGTTTCACCTGGGAGTAGGAGTCCCTGT